TAATCATGCTCACCTTGTAGACTTGCCATTTGCATCCCTAGCTTCGAAAGGTGGCCAGATGACTCCTCACGTCGTGAGATATCCTTGCTCACATCGTGAGTTTGGAACTTATCCCTTCGTAGCCTTGTTGCGCACCTTCTAGATCTGAAATGTGGCAATTTGGTTCCTCACGTAGTGAGTTTCTATGCTCACATCGTGAACTCAGTCAGATTAGGGATTTTGATAGTTGTATCTTCGGAAGGTCATAACATTTGCATACGAACTCTGTTTTTGACATTCTTTATATCCATATGTAGCTATTTACGAGTACTACAACTCTTCTTTAGACTCCAATAGATAATTTTAATTTGATTTTAAATTCCTCTTATTATAGAGATTTACAGTGTTCGGTTTATCATAACTTCTTCATGCGAAGTTAGATTCAGATGTTCTCTATATTTTTGGAATCGTATGGACATATACTTTGAGTTGTATCACAAAGAAAGTTCATATTTGTATTAGAATTTATCATGAAATACATAGTACATTTATCACATTACATGATTGGCATAATCATATGTGATTGTTATTGACTTATTTTGACTAGTGTTATAGTTACAAAGGGAAGAGTGGCTGAAGACCATTTTAAATTTGTTCAAATCGACACCAAGTGTAGATCTTTCAAATATGATAAAATCTGAACGCTAATTTCTTTCTTTCTTTTTTGTTTGTTTTATCAATTGCCAGACTTCAAACTCATAAAGATGCAGGGGTGGTTTTCCATTTCTTTCTCTTATCATTGATTTCAATTTCAAAATTTATGGTGTGGATCTCAGCACTAATTTTGATATGTATGCGTTTACTGGAGCTATAGGGCTAGAACTCATGTGTAGCTACCAGACCACCATATTGAATGAAGCTCTAGGTTCGAATCTGAAAGGGTTTCAAATAAAATGTAAGATATATTACTGGATTGTCATCTAGAGGTGATTCGTGGTGTCGGAATAGGTATATGGTGGTATTGTCAGAATACGTTAAAGGCGGTGGTGATGGAATAAGTGAAGGAAACATTGGTTGAAAACACGAAGGGTATCTGAGGTGGTAGGACCCACTAAGATGGTGGGAGGTAGTTTGTGGTGCGGAGATGCTGATGGTGATAAGCGGTGGTGCTAGAGGTGCTGGCGGTAAGTGGTCATACCGGAGGTGATGGTGGTTATATGTGGTGGTTTATGCTAAATCTTGAGATAGGGAAATGAAAATAGATGTGTACGGATATTTTTTTTTTTTATTTTTAGTTTTAATTTAAAACTGATAAATAAACAAAATAAAATGAAAAAAACAAATTATTAAGGGTAAAAAAATCATTTCATGTGAATAGGGACTAAGCGTGTAAGAAAAAACAAACAGATGGACGGTCCGAGTTAATTTTTAAAAACATAGACTAAACACGTTTTCTGGCATGTGCACGAGAGACAAATGGTATAATTTATCGTTAAAAAAATATGTTAAAAAATATATATTAAAAAAATCAAAAATGAACATTAGAATTTGAATAGTATACTAGATTTTATAGGGATTTGAGAATAAATATGTACGTAAATCATTAATGAACACGAATAGTAGCAAGACAAAAATAATGTCAGATCATGTTTTCTACCAATGTTAAGCAATATTTTGAAAAAAAAAAATTTGGTTGTACAATTTTATGTTTTCTACCCATGTTAAGCAATATTTTGAAAAAAATATTTTGGTTATACAAATTTCATTTAGAATTCTTTAAAGGTTCTTAATATTTTACCATAATTTATAAGAAAATTTTAAATTGCATATAAAAATATACAAACTAGCGACTAAAAATTCAGAAAAACCCTTCTTTGATCGGTTTCGTATATTTATCAATATTATGTTGTTTTTCGTTAGTTTTGTCAAAATATTGAGAGTTTTTTTTTTTTTTTTTTTTTTTTTTTTTTTTTTTTTTCTTTAGTTACCTAATAATCAACATATTAAGATTTTTCTGAAAATGGAAATTTTCAAAAAAGTCTCAAACTAAATTTTGTTTACAAAAAAAATCAAAGAATACCGGTTAAAACTTCGACAAAACTGTTGTCGGTAGGTTTCGCAAATTTAACCGGTATTTTGTTCTATTTCGTTAGTTTGCTCAAAATTTTGGGAGTTTTCCAAAAGTTAATTGATAACTAATAGACTAGGACTTTTCTAAAAAATGTCCATTGAATTAATGGATATTATTATTAACGAATCATTTATAAACATGAAAAATATTTTTATTATAAGAAAAGGAAATATATTTGTTGCTAATTTCTAGGAATAAATTGGTAGTCTAAGTACTCATTGTTGACCACTCAAACTCTCTACGTTCCACCTATAAATTGATGTGGATATGATGGTGAAATGTACTAAGTTAGTGTTCCTCTAATGTTGGTGTTTCTCTTTTGTTGTTTAACATAACTACCACTCAGTATTCATACCTCACATGTTAACAACCATCAGCTAACACACATCTATCAAATGTGAAAAGTGAACCATGAATGATAGTTTAACATATGGAAACAAGTGAAGGGTGATTATCTATTTAAATTGTTATTCAAAGTTTACTTTCCACTTTCGATAATTGTGTGTAATTTGATGGTTGTTATCAGATAACGTATGGAGGTTATGTAGTAGTTAGGTTAAAGAACATAATGAAAAATCTATATGTGCAAGAATCATTGTATAATGATATTTTCCAATAACATGTGATCATATAGCGTCACGCCTAATAGCAACTAGACACTTATTGATTATGTATTAATCAGTATTATCAAATCTTGTATTAGTCATGCCTAATAATGTACTTCTCACTATGACACCCACAACGATACATAAGAGGAACATAATGACTTTAAAGTGGTCAATAAACAATAGAGAAATACATAGTCGACAATTGTATTCCTAGAAATTAGCAACAAATGTATTTCCTTTGTTTATAATAAAAATATTTTTTATGTTTATAAATGATTTGTTAATAATAATATCCATCAATTTGATAGTAATTTTCAGAAAAGCCCCGATATCTTGGTTATTGAGTAATTTTCAGAAAAATCCTAATATTTTGAGCAAACTAACAAAAAAGGATAGAATACCGGCTAAATCTACGAAACCGGACACAAAGGGTTTTTTTTCGAAGTTTCTATCGGTATTCTGTGCTATTCTATAAACAAAAATTAGTTTGGAACTTTTTCATAAATTAGACTAAAATTATAGGACTTTTTTGAAGATTTGCCTTCTGAAAATTACCATAAATTAATAGATATTATTATCAACAAATCATTTATAAACATAATTTTTTTTTATATATAAACCGAATAAATACATTTGTTTTCAATTTTTAGGAATTGAATGGTGGACTAAATATGCATCTATTGTTCGATGTCCACTTTAAACTTTTACGTTCCCTCTATGTGTGATTATGGGTGTCATGGTGCGATGTATTTATACGTGTCTCTAATAAAATACAATAGATAATATTTATTAGTAATCACATTACTTAATAAAAAATCAATTAGTAGCCTTCATACATTACCAGTTAACAACCATCGAATTACACATATATATTGAGAGTGAAAAATAAACTTTGAATGACAATTTAAATAGATAATAAACATTGACATGTTTCGATATAAACTGTCTTTCACGGTTTACTTTTCACATTCGATAAATTTATGCTAGCTGATGGTTGTTAGTATGTGAGGTATGCATGTTGGGTGATAATTAAGTTAAATAATATAAGAGAAACACAAATATTAGAGGAACAGTGACATAGTACATCTCACCATAACTCCCACAACGATGCATATGAGGAACGTAGAAAGTTTGAAGTGGTCTGCAAACAATAGAAGAGTACTTAGGTGTTGTTTGTTTTTTCGAAGCGAAAATGTCTGAAGTCTGCGGACCACCTTTGCAACCCTCTGTAATAGGAGAAGAAGACCAAACGGCTGCAACATGTAATAAAAAGTTTGTACAAACTGCTACAATAAGTTAAAATAAGGTGTGAAAATGTTTGAAGCAAATAGTCAAGTGTTTTGCCATGCAGCACACACGCAACCGTTTTTAAGTCAGAATTCTTCTGAAAAACAAACAACTGTAAAGGGTCAAATGCTACGAGTGTGCTGTGCGGCGTAACAATGAGTAGTCAAAAGTTTTTTAAAAAAAACAAACAGCACATTATTAGTCTACCATTCTATTCCTAAAAATTAACAATAAATGTATTTTTTTTTTGTTTATAAATAATTTGTTAATAATAATATTCATTAATTCTATGTTAATTTTCAAAAAAAAAAATCAAAATATTTTGGTTATTGGCTAAATTTTAGAAAACTCTTAATATTTTGATAAAAATTAATAGAAAATGACAGAATAACGGTTAAATCTATGATACTGATCAAATTTTTTTTTTTTGAAGTTTTCTTTTTAAATACAATTTAGTTTATAATTTTTTTCATAAATTTGACTAAAATGTTCCCTTTTCTTTTATTTACCGTAGAAATAAATACCAAAAATTGTTAAAAGGTATGCATCACATGGTTATCATCGCTCCTATGACCAGCTTCAAAAGTAGTAGCGAAGAATATGAAACCAGACTCTTGAACTCTCCTACTAGACTCGCAAATGTTGTAACGAAGAACATGAAGTTGGAAAAATGATATTCTTAATCTAAAAGTAAAAAAAAAATAATTAAAAAAAAATAAAAATAATAAAAATAAAATAAAATAAAATAACACAGCCATGCAAACACATGGATTGGATTTTGGTGTATAGATGGTTGAAGTTGAAATATTTTGTTGGGTCTACCTCTACAGTCTACACAAACTAAGACCTAACCCTAGTCAGAAATTAACCATGACAATAGCCACAGCTCAAGTTTATTTAAACAAAGGGCAAGAGTGAGGCCAGCTGGGCTGAAAACCAGCTTTCCCATCTGCCCATACCCATCTCTCTCTTTCTCACTCTGTTTTCTTCTACAGATGAACAGTCCATGGACCCCCCCCTTTACTTTCTTGATCTTGTAGGTTTGTAGTGATCTTAAAATCTCGAATTTTGTATTATGTAGATGTGAATTGGCTTCATCTCTTAATTAATTCCCAAAGGGATCAACAACCGGCAGCTATGGAGAAGAAGAAAGATGGAGTGGACAAGAGAGAGAAATGGTCACCATGTGAACGCATCATATCTACAAACCAAACCACCGCCATTTTCAGCCATGGAAGTTCTTGTCTTTCAACCATGAGCAACAGGTTTTAGTTAAGTCTAGACTTGTGGGGTGAGTGTGGCTGTGGCTGTAATCAAACAAAACGATCTCTGTGTTTTCTTCCTCTTTAACTGTAAAAATAGTCGTTGGCCGGTGTTGAGCCATGAAAAGGCTTGGAAGCTCAGATTCAATGGCGGGATTGATACCCATGTGCCAAACCATAGGTAAAAGTTAGATTCATGTATGTTTCATTAATTATATGGAATTCAAAAGTAAAATTGAGATAAGATTTGTGATTGTGTAGACGAAAGCAGCAGTCCTGTGGGGTATACACGAGAATTTCAGTCGATGTTAATGGAAGGTTTGGATGAAGATGGTGGCGGAGACGATTGTGCCGGAGGAGGCCAGATCTCGGAGAAGAAACGCCGACTAAGTGCGGATCAGGTAAAGGCTTTGGAGAAAAACTTCGAGATGGAGAACAAACTGGAGCCGGAGAGGAAAGTGAAGCTTGCTCAAGAGCTTGGCCTGCAACCCAGACAGGTCGCTGTTTGGTTCCAAAACCGCCGTGCACGGTGGAAGACCAAACAGCTGGAAAGAGATTATGGTGTCCTTAAAGCCAATTTTGATTCACTCAAACACAATTATGACTCCCTCAAACTCGACAACGAATCTCTACTCAAACAGGTCGATTCAACCCCCTTTTGCTTTTGGGTTTTATATAATTTAATCTCTAAAACTAGTTTATTATACGTACAGATCAGGGAACTGAAGTCGAAATTGTATGGGGAAGACCAAGAAAGCAATATTCCGGTGAAGGAAGAGGCCGACGAGAAGCAGCCAAAATCACCGGAAGTGATGTATGAAAATGAAAACATGGTAACCACAACATATTTCCCGGATTTAAAAGATGGGTCTTCTGATAGTGATTCAAGTGCGATCTTGAACGATGACAACAACAGCTCCAACATGACGACATCCATGGCGGACGTGATGAAGGGCCACCAATTGACGGAGTCAAAAGACATAATGGGTGCTGCACAGAAAGCTTACCAACCACAGTTTGTGAAGATTGAGGAACACAATTTCTTCGGTGGAGATGAGTCTTGCAATTTCTTCTCAGACGATCAAGCTCCGACGCTGCAATGGTACTGTCAAGATCAGTGGAACTTAACAGATGAAAACTAAAATCCCCTGTTAATCTCCGACTACCGATCTGTTACCGATGGAAACAATTTTAAAATAAGCAAAAAATGTAAATTAAAATGAAGAATGAAATCGGTGGCATGAGAATGTACTTATAGATGGACTAGTTTTCGATTTGAGCTTCATGTTCTGCCATTAAAGTAGAAAAAAGCTTCGACTTGAAAGGAGGAAACATCCTGTAATATTGGACAATAATCAAGTCAATGCTACTTTAAATTCAGATGCATCACTGATTTGCACATGTTTTGGATCTGAATCATTATTTCTGACTATAACTCATCACCATGCTTCAGTTAATTGCTAAATCATATCATTTAGAGAGTACATGTGATTTTTTTTTATTTATTAAAAAAAGAAAAAAGAAAACTGTATCATCTTAAAATAGAAATGTTTTGTCTATTTAATTATCTGTATTTTCTTTAGGGATAATGATTTCAAAAGGGAACCAACTATATTATTTGTATATCATTTAATTTTTTTTATGTGCTGTCAACCTTTAAACTTGCTTCTTTGTTTAAAACATACTACTATTACCTGCAAGTGCACATAAAATCTGTTTTGGTGGTTTGAATTCCACTTTCGGCAACATTTCTGACAGACACAAGCTCTAGATGACATCTCCAATCATCTTCTCCGGCGACATTTTCCGCGGACACCCCCAATTCAAACCAGAAAATGGTGAACATATATTGAATCACTCACAAAAATAAAAATAAAAATATCTAATTCAACCATCGATTCCACCAAAAATTACATCTCGGACGGGATTACACCCCCGAATCCGATGACAGATTCCATCCAAATTCTCATCTAATGAATCAAACCTAAATGTTAATTTGAGCAAAAACCATCAATGATTCAATCTAAAACTTCAAGTCAAACGAATCACACAATCAAAAGTAACCATTTAAAGAGAAAAACGTAATTTCTTCATACAATTCAAAGAGAAAACCATAACCATTCAGGGACAAATCAATGAGCTTTAATATGTGGTGAAGAATAGATGAAATAATGAAAAAGTGGTGAAGCAGAGCAATGAAGGGAAGAAGATTTGCACAAAGGAGTGTTAGAGGGGGTCATATTTCGTCATACCATTTGATTTATGATGTTGCCACTCAAATCATGGATCATGGGAGCGGTATATTGGGAAAACAAAGATGGATTTTGAAGGTGGGATATCAATATGAACACACAAACACAGATGGAGCCACAAAAGCAAATAGCCCTTCAGATTTTGATTTTGATTCCAGATCTCACTTTGAATTCGATTTTCTCCTTCAAATTTCTATTTCATCTTAAGTTGAACATGAACCTTAGCTTCAAAACTCAATTTTTATGATAAACCACAGCATATCAGAAATCAAATTTCATGCTGAACCACTAGGTTCGTTTTTCTCCTGATTTTCCAGAAATCGATTTTACTTTCAAGAGTAATACCTGATTTTGAACTCAAATTCTTTTCTGAAGTATGATACATGATATAAGATTTTACTTTGAAGTGTAATATATGATTTTTGAAGTCTAAGAAGATAACTGAAAATGTGGCCGGAGCAAATGACCGGAGCTTGGCGACTTTTTAGAGGGAGATGGCATAGTCGGTGATCGAAAGGGGCCGTGAAGGAGGATGCAATGGTGCCATTGACATGAGACAGTGAGATACCTTTTCCTTTTAACAAAACCCATTTTGCGTGTTCGCTGGAGATGTCATCGGAGATAAGGAGTGTCGAAAATGTCGTTGGAGGTGGAACTAAAACCCCCAAAACTAGTTCTACCTAATATTGCAAGTAATAATGGTATGTTTTAAACCAAAAAAAAAACAAGTTTAATGGTAAACAGTGCACCAAGAAAAATCAAGTGACCAAACATGTACAAATGATTTGTTATCCTTCAAAGTCATTATCCATTTCTTTTATATTTGTCCGTTTGACATTGATTGTATACCATTAGATCCATGAGTATGGATCAGGTAGTTTTAGATCCGTGGGTATGGATCAGGGGAAAAGGTTAGTTTTAGATCCGTGAGTATGGATAAGGTGAAAAGGTTATTTTTAGATCCGTGAGTATGGATCGGGTGAAGAGGATATTTTTAGATCCGTGAGTACGGGGATCATGTAAAGAGGAAAATTTTAGATACGAGAGTTTAGATCATGTCGTTGTGAGGATCGATGGGGTGGGATAAGAGTTGCCTTTATATGGTGAAATTGTACAAGTTTGAATGTTCTATATTTATAAATATATGATATAACATTGTGGGATGAAAACCCTATATGCTCACCAGGCTCCCAAGCCTGACCCACTCAGTTTTCTTTGTATCACAGGTATCGATACGAAGACATATTTCACATAGAGATTTAAAGGAGATATAAATCATTAGTGTAATTGAATATAAGTTCTGTTTATGCTTATATGTCTGTATCGGAACATGACATCTCGATGTTTTATTATTAAATGAAATACATTCTCTTTGAGAAATGTTTTGATAAGTTATTATCATATCTTGTTTTGGGAACAAATTCCGCAACTGTTTTCTTTAAAAGATTACTCTAATTTTAAAAACAAAGCATAAACAAATCGGTCTTTTCTGGCCGAGAAATTGGGGATGTCACACTCCATCAACTCGCCAAGTTCTAAAACTTAGAAAATTAAAACTGCGATTCAACTCATCGAGTCAGCCCCTAACATGCCGAGTTCCCTGGCAACTTGTGGTCTCAATTTATCACGTCAACTTGTCGAGTCAATCTTGACCTCGCTGAGTTCTCGCGTGAACATAAACGGGACAATTCTCTTCGACTCGTCGAGTCCCTTCCTGGACTCGCCGGGTGCATTGGTCTGATTGGGACATCTTAACAGATTAAGCCCATACACTTCAGATCTAAACCCCAAACTTTGTCTACACACTGGAAATGACTTCTTAAGGGTAAAATTTTCAACTTTACCCACTACTAATCCTTCTTAATGGGTTTCACTCAAACCATAGCTCCTTAGGACACAAATCCTTATTACTCCTAACCAAAGCAGGAGGACCAAGATCTAGGACATAGATATCAGTTAATCATGTAAAGTCTCTGCTTTTTCATCCATTCACGACCTTCTAGGCTCAAGAGACCATAACAACCTCTTAAAGCTTGCATGGGGCTTTCCAATGGCATAAAGTTTGCACCTTTATGCCCTATCCACCCTTAGGGACCCCAGATCTGAAAGGATGTTTACTTGGGACGTCTATATCCCCTAGATCAAACTTCATAGACCAAAATCCTCATACAATAGACATAAATAGATCTAGGAAACCATAAGCCAAGTTGAAGACTTGATTACCATAAAATGGTGGAAATGAGATGGTGTTGTTGGATCTATAATCTTCTCCCTGAACCTTCTAGGTCCTTCTTCTTCTTCTAGTCTTCAAGAACACACAAAACCCTCGAAAACAAGCTCACAAGCTCAAGGATGCACTAGGGTTTCGAGATCTAGGGTTTTAGATTTGGGGGCTGAGAATGAGGCTGATGGGAGGAGAATAAGATTCCTAAATAAGGCACCAAGACCCGAATTTAGGGTTTCCTAAACCCATACCAACTCGTCGATTTGGTCCTCCAACTCGTTGAGTAGGTCACTTAACCCACGACCCAAAATCGGTTCCTACTCATCGAGTCATCCACCAGACTCGACGAGTTTCCTTTCTTCGCTTTGGGTTTTTCCGTTCCTTTCTTGGTCTTCTGGATTCTGGGTGTTACAAGCATCCTATCATGGGTGTGGTGTGTCCTTGAACATTATGAATGATGTAGTCAGATCCATGATACCTTCCACGTGTCTCAGTTGAGGAAGTGTATCGCCGATGAGTCGACAGTCGTTCCATTAGAGGACATTCAAGTGGATGCAAGCATGAACTATGTTGAAAGGCCAATCGCGATTCGGTACAGGAGGATCAAGGTTTTGAGAAAAAAGTAGGTGACATTGGTTCAAGTTCAGTGGCAACATCGGAAGGGGTCTGAGTTGACTTAGGAGCCGGATTTAGAGATGCATGAGCAGTTGTGACAACACATAATTTATTCTGTTACTGTAACCTGTTTCCGTTAATAAAGCCGTTACGTTCCAATTTTTCCGTTAACTTTGTTTTAAAATTTATAAAATTGGGAGTTCTTATTTAGACATCATGAGTGTCGGAACACATTAGAAATGCGTGAAAACATCCCAAATATTTATTTGGAAAATTTATAGTTTCGACCACGTCGGGTTACAGTAACTTTAATCGGGTACGACCAAAAGCCCCGTTTAACGTCAGTACCGGGTAGATCTCCACCGGGCCACAAAATCAAGCCTTATACAAAGGATGAGTGAACTTCAATTTAGCTTTTTACCACCACCTCATAACTTTTTCTCACTACTCTCTCTCTCTAAAACTCAAAATTGAGCCAAAATCACCCCTTTCAAGCTTCAATTTGGTAAGTAATCTATCCTAGCATGTTTCTAAGATTGTTTATCATTCTAATTCGCGTTTAAACCATCCAAATGCATCAAGAACATGTGTTTATGGTTTGGGAACATCTCCCAAAACCGTAAAATCCTATAAGAGGGTTTTGAAGCCCCAAAACCCTTCCAAATCACTTCTAGTGCTTAGTTAAGACCTTTGGACTTGCAGGAATGGACTTAGAGAACCAAAATTTTACCATTTAGGGGGTAAGCTTGATTTTATGGCCCAAGAACATTCATGGACCGCAAACACCTCTTCTTAGACCATAAACACCTCTAAAGGGTGTAAAAATGCCCCTAACACCTTGTATGGCTTAGAAATGGGTCTAGAACTTAGCATGCTTAACCTTCAACCACCAAATCACATGAACCATGGACAAACATGAGTTTACTGTCGTAAACTCATGTGTTTACGGTAGTAAACTCACCAAGAACATCTTCATAGACCCTAAACTCCTTTTCCAAGGTCAATTCAAGTCCCAATCACTTCCTAAGTCATGGAATCAACCCTAGAACCTTCCTTTGTGCATTGTAATTGACCTAGGACCACCAAAACACACTTAGAATGGGTACATAAGATTTTACGACTGTAAAATCCTAGTTTACTACCATAAACTCCTCAAATGGTCCTTATGTTGTTCAAATTCCATTCCAATGCCTTAAAACTAAGTCTAGCATCACCCCACAAGAGTTATAAGACCATTAAGCAACCAAGAACACCCCCACCATGAGTTTATGGCCATAAACTCATGGGGAGTTGGTCATTGTCACACCCCCAAACCAAGGATGGCGGAAATGTCCGGGGGTGGAGGACTTCATGTAGAGTATCACAACAATGTGTATAATAGTGCTCAAAGTAAATACAACCATCACAAATATAATTGAAAACGTTACATCAAAGCACATGTTTACATGATTCACATCAATTACATTATGATACAAAATGAACTGTTTGAC